TTTTGCTCTTTCATAAATTACGTTGTGCTTTCCTACACAATGGGCTTCAAAAGCCGCCTTCACCTTGTCATATTTCTTTTTATCATCATCAGACAATGGCAAAACACTCAAAATATCATCAGCTGTATCTCCTAACGTATACAACAGAGAGTTCACTTGGTACTCATCAGGTCTGTCGATGAGGCCTGATGCCATACGAAAACGTTCAAATCTTCTTATCCATTTAGGCCAATTAACCGAGTCTGAAAAATCAAAACTATCCGGTGGAGATATTTGTACTGCTGTAGTAGCCATTGTATGTGTTTCCATTTGTGCCGGTAGGCTTACACTTTCTCTTTGCGGGTTATCCTCAGGCGAGAGCGAATCCAAACTTTCACCGTCCGTGTCTATTGCACGTCCGGTAGGCATGCTCTGGACTGGAGCTAAATCGCATCATACTTCTACAACCGTTTACGGAACGTTTGTTCGTTATACTGGTACTTCCGTAAATGGACCATGTGATGTCACTCTCTTACTCACGCTCCGTGCAGCTCCGAGGAAAGAAAAGGGGGTAAAAAAAAAAATCCTCTCCGTTTCTCCTTTCCAACCGATGTCCACAGGTTGCTAGCCCGCCTGGCTGTAGCCAGTTATGAACACGCGAACCTGAATGACGTTAACGTCAGTGAAGGTAAGTCCTGTCGCTCAATTATCCTCCTCCGTTCCGTCGCGAGGCTCCGGAGTTAAAATCTTATTATGTTAAGATTACACAAACCCTTCTTAACTTCTGACACCATGTGTTAATGCTACGAATGAAGTCAGGCAGAGACCGGCATATCCAGTGTGTCGTTTTATTATAAGTACTTCCTGTCCTACCCTTAAACATGTCCCCAGTACAGCCACCAGCCCAGAGGGGACGTCCCTAGACAGTGCCCAGCCAGAGGACCTGGAGTGGGACCTTCTAGGCCGAGCCCTCAGTCCTGCTCCTGGGCCCCCCACCTCAGCCCTACATCCTTACCACCCCAGTCCTGAGTCCCGGAGTGGTCACACTTTCCGGGCCACCCGGTCAGACCCTGGTCTGCACGGCGCTGTCCGCCTACTGCCTTAAGGAGGGGAACCGCTCCGCTCTCCATCTGCTGCCCTGTAATCCCGACAGCACCCTCGTGTCCCTGTCCTGCACATCCCTTGGTGCCCCCTTGTCCCCCTTCAGTCCCAGCCTAGGGCTGCGTCCCCTGTGGCCATTTCCTGTTTCTCTGTCACATCCCAGTTGTCCCTCCACATGTCCACCTGTTTTGTAGCATCTCCAGTCTGCTGTCCTTGTGCTCCTTGGCTTTGCCTCTCTCTGTCTCTCTGCTCCATATCCCTAGTCATGCTGTCTGCTCCCATGTCCCAGGTTCTGCCTGTCTAATGTCTTCCCTGGTCTGGTCCTGAGTGTCCGCCTTGCTGTTTGGTCCCTCAGGTCTCCTCTGTTGGTACTTCATGCCCGGCATACTTCGGGGGGGGGGGGGGGGTAATGTCACGCCATACCCATCCAACCCTCTTGTTTCCTCCCTAGCTTAGCCACAATGAGCCACATGTATCGTTTGTCTTGCCTCTCAGTTCTGCCCTCTTGTTAATCATCCCCAGTTGCTTCTTGTTTGCTCCCTCGTTAGTCTTGTATTTAAGTGCTTCCCATTCCTGTCATTATGTCATTCCTCTTGTCTGCCTGAGTCCTTCCCCTGCATTAGTCTCCTAATTTTGGACCCCTTGCAGTCTGATTTGTTTTTGCTGCTCCTGTTTTGATTAAAATAAACCCCTTTTTCATTCTCCTAATGCCTCCCCTTGACTCCTTCAGTTCCTGGTTGTGACAAGCTGAATTAAGCATCGGTTTTTCTGGCCTGGAATGTGCTAGATATGTTAACCACCAGGAATCATCTCAAACGAATGAATCAGACAAGTTTTGAACTGTTAAATGGGCTGACAAATAACTGAGACGTAAGGTTAGTACATGGTTAGTATGTTGAATTTGATATATATTAAGGAAAATATAAATCTCTACAGCACAGAAGTGAATATAACATGAAAGAACATGCAACATAATGAAGAAAATGTGAAATTAGTTAATTGGAGTGATGCAATACATTAAACATTACAGATGTTTGTGGATTAATGTGTGTGTGAAGGGGGTCTCATAAGACCTGCCCCCTCTCTCTAATTTGGCAAGCAGACTGATTATTGACAGGAATGAGAGCCCAGCACTTTACCGCCCAGTAAGGCTCACGTTGGCATTCTGGGTAGCTTTGGCCAGACTGTGGTGCACATTGGTCCCCATGTACAGGGGCATGCAGGCATGCAGGTGTTTGCTTGCCCTGAGGCACTTGGCGGGTCTGACCTAAGTAGCCCGAGGGGCAAGAGCAGGACGGTGTGCCTCGAATCTTGGTGGAATTGCAGGTGCCCCCATTGCGGCAGGGACAGGGGTCGCTGTCTTTACAGGATTCACCCCGGAAGCCAGGCTCACACCTGCACAGAACACAGCAAATGTTACCTTCTGATCAAGCAGTGTGCAAAGACCACCGAACACACTAACATCAACACTCACAGTGTAATACTGAATTTCCATTCATCCACCCATCCACCAGAGGTATGTGGCTCTGCATATTAAGAATCTGTGCCCTGATGGTCATCAGTTCAAATCCCACGAATAATCACTCCGGGCCATGATCAAGGTCCTTAACTTGTCCAGGGGATACTGACCTTACGCTTCACTCTACTACTCTACTATTTGTGCATCTCATACAAGAGCAAGATGGAATATGCAAAAATCAAAGAATTCCTAAACATTGTACATTCACCCCTTTTCTGTACCCATTAATCATGGTAGCCTGGACCCTACCTCAGAAGTTACAGCTGCAAGGAATAACCCAGGACGGGGTGCCAACCCGTCGCAGGACACACACACACACAACATTCACACCTACAGGCAATTTATGAACCCCAATTCACCTTCGCATGTTTTTTAACTTCGGGACTACAATACCTGAAGCAATTCCCCAGACAACAGGGAGAACATACAAAGCCCGCACACTCCAGTCCCAGGAACCCAAACTCCAGTCCGACTCCAGTTAACAGTGCTAACCACCATGCTACCTCTACACCGTACAATGGCCGATAAGAGAATCTTAACCGGTGCACAGCGCCGCCCCTCCTTACACGCAGAGCACGCGCTGTGCCTAGAGCCCCATGATCCCCATTTTCCCCAAGGGGACGCATTCTCCGCAAATACGCAAAGGATGCGCATGGCTGCCCTGAGGCGCGCGTACAGCACCAAGTCAGCCCAAGGAGGAAGAGAGAAAAAAAGAGACGAGTAATCTGACACCGCACGCGTTGCCGCAATGATTGACAGCACGCAACATCTGACCAATCAGCGGTCAAATGCGCCGACAGGCAGTTGGATCCATGCAGGTGATTTCGTGATACACACAATTCCAGAAAGCTTCTGCCCGTTACTTACTCTGCTTAACCAAAAGATTCATTCAATGAATTACTCTGATTATATAATCTGAGTCTGATGAAAAATAAGATTTTTTTGATAAACATATGTTTATATGTCCACCGTGCTGACTAACAAAAAAATTCCCCCAAAGGAATTAATGTCTTGATTTAATGCATCCATCTTTCAACTGCTTATCCAGATACTTATTCACGGGAATATCTATATTCTCATTAAAGTAATATTTGAAAGTGAATTTTTTAAATAATGTTCGATTAAGAATGAAAATTGTATTACTGAATTAAGTTTCATAGACTATGCAAAAGAGAAAATTAGGCTAGGCGTAAATCTCTGCTCTCATTGTCATATCCAAGTCAAGTGTAAATGCTATTTAAAGGTTTCGTGCACCTTTTAAAGAAATCATATAAAACCACAGCTGAAGTTCATTTGAATATAGACTTTCCCCCATTAACCTGCCCACAATTACTGGAACGTCTGACACTGATGCCGCCCAGCAAAGGAAAAGATCTGCAATAAACCAACTACACTGGTGTTGTATTTTAGAAAAGGTTGAATGTGTTAATATCGGTGGGGTTTTTTTTTTGCAATAAAAATGCACACAGTTGCCAGCAGTTGCATTTCCTTCTCTTTCCTTGCGCAACGCCGCCTTCCCTCGCAAAGGAGTTGTGGACTGTGGGGCAGCTATGTGAAAAGAGTTATTAAAAACTTAACGATGGTAGGAAAATTACAAATTTCCATCAGATTCTCCAAAAAAAAAAAAAAAAAAACGACGAAAAACTTTTGTTCCCCCAACCGTGTTTAGTTTTACGCGTTTACTTCAAGCACGACATACTTCCCTATTTTAAGGTGTTATATTCGCTATACGTTATACAAAGCGGATTTTAAAATATGGGAAACGAAATCATGTGTTTCAAACGCAAGGCTGTAGTTTTGAGACAGCAAAGGTCGGCTGGCACACTGACACATATGCTGGAGAAATCCCGACCCGAACGCCCCCTAAAGCTCCGCAAAAAAAGACAAATAAGAGCGATCAGCTGGAGGCGGAACGTCAGGCGTGTCATCGAGTGACTGTCACCGCATCCTGTGGTTTTTAAAAACAAGTGACTATATGTATATATAAACAAATATATAATGCCCGCTGACATTTTACAGCTCCGTTACAAAGACGAGTCCAGCGCTAGCCGGACATTTCTGTGTCAGTGGGCTGGGCTGCAGTTCTTGATAAATCGCCATCGCTGCAGCGCCTGATAAAAACAGGATGCTGTGCTGCTGAGAGAGAACAACCCGAAGCTTGATATTTGCGCAGTGTCTGCTGTTTCTTCCCTTTTTTTCTCCCCTGCGACGCTAGCTTTCTAAGCTTTACCTACTAAATACCGAAACGAAAATGTCCGAATAACACAGAGATAAACTTAGAAACGAACCATTAAGCTCATCAACAAGTTGAAGACAAAATCAGATAAAAACGAACGCGATTCAGTGACATTTGACTATATAGAACTGAGAATGAGAGGAAAGGGGGAGCAGCCTTTTGCTTTGACAACTGTTTTTCTAAGCAGCGAAACTGAGAATAAAGGTGAGCAGACATTCTGATAAATAGGAAGAAGGGGTGATAGTGGGGGAGGTACAGAAACCAAAGAGGAAGAGCGGCAAACCTGGCCAGATAACAGAGGAAGGGGGCAAGATGATGATTGGTGATTGGTGTCAGGTGGCAGGGAGAAGCTCGTGCCTTGTGTCTTCCTGTCATCTCATTTCGGTTCTTTCTTTAGACACAGGAAATCAGCACTGACACACTGACACTTTTGCACACACATGAGCACTCAAAAACGCACGCGCGCGCACACAGGAAGGACACCTCGCGTGCAGATAATTAGCATCAAACTGCATCAGCGTGCACTGTTGTGCACTTGCATTCGTGTGTGTGTGTGTGTGTGTGCGTGCGTGCGTGCGTATGCATCTGTTTTGTGAGGCCGAGAAGCTGTAACGCTGGATGTGGCACGGTGGTACCAGGTCAAAAAAGCAGAAGGGTACGTCCCTCTCTTCTTTCCTGTCTGAAAAGCCCCACAATGACTCATGTGCTCAACAAATGACAGCAAGGGGCGCATTGCAAAATTCTCCCTTCAAGCGTTCCTGTTATTTCAGCCCTGTGGTGTTTGGCGTATGCATGACAAAAAAAAAAGTGTGTATCGTAATTTTTTTTTTTTAAATTGTGGAGATGCTTTAATCCAAGGCAACATTTATTTTTATATGAGAGAAAGCAGGGTCACACGGTCCCTGAGTTACCAGGGAGTTAAGGACCTTGCTAACATCACTCTGACAAGTCAGGGATTTGAACCAACAACCTTCAGATCAAAGGGACAATGTCCTAACCTGCTGAGCCAGACATCACCCTCTATTTGTGTACTTGTGTGGCTCCGTGCAGGTGGGTCTCTTAATCTCAACAGGCTGTCGTGTACATATGTTCTTCTGGATAACTATGATGAATGAAAAGGTTCCAGGGAAGCAGAGAGAGGACCTAGGGATGGGTCACAGACAGCCTGGTCCTCTGGGACCCCCAGACAGTACATGTTTTTACTCCCTCCCATCTACTGGCAAGGAGCTGGGAGGGAGCAGAAATGTGGACTGTCTGGGAGGGAGCAAAAACCTGGACCGTCTGGAGGTCTCTGAGGACCGGGTTGAGAAACACTGCCATAGGATACATGTACGTATACACAGGTTCAGGGATACATATATGCTTTTTAAAAAGTGTTTCCCTCCAGCATTAATTACACCTGTCGTTCCCTCTGCAGGCTAAGACCAGACATGATTAGAATAACAGCAGACAGAGGTGGCCACATCTCTGAGTCATTACCACAGCGAGGACATTCTACACCATATTTACAGCTCTACAGAGCGTTTCTATAGTTCAAGGCGCCTCATTCCACAGCCTCGCATCAAAACTTTATTTTATCACTCTTGGGACACTCTTCTGGCACCAGAAGTTCCCAAAACTTGAGGCAGGGAGGAAGGTTGAAGATAATCCAAAGTCACCTACTGGTTCTTGTTCCCACCTCTGGTTATTCCCTTAAGAAAATTGACCATGGTTTTACTATGATTAAATAACCATGGTTTACAATGGTTTGCCGTTTTTCATGGTTTTTTGGATAACTATGGAAACCATGACTACAGTTTTATCATGGTTTCGCTATAATCTTGGTCATAAACCATGGTTTTTGTTTTACCATGGTCTTTACCATGGTTTTTCCAAACCATGCTTTTCCCAAACCATGGTAGTACTATGGGTAGTACCAAAGTACCATGAGGTACCATAGTAAAACTATGGTTACTGAATAAAAACCATAGGAAACCATAGTGAATTTTCATAAGGGTTGTTCCAACTACTGGTTCTTGTTCCTACCCCTGGTTCTTGTTCCCACCTACTGGTTCTTGTTCCTACCCCTGGTTCTTGTTCCCACTCCTGGTTCTTGTTCCCACCTACTGGTTCTTATTCCTACCCCTGGTTCTTGTTCCCACCTCTGGTTCTTCTTCCCACCTACTGGTTCTTGTTCCTACCCCTGGTTCTTGTTCCCACTCCTGGTTCTTGTTCCCACCTACTGGTTCTTATTCCTACCCCTGGTTCTTGTTCCCACCTCTGGTTCTTCTTCCCACCTACTGGTTCTTGTTCCTACCCCTGGTTCTTGTTCCCACCTACTGGTTCTTGTTCCTACCCCTGGTTCTTGTTCCCACCTACTGGTTCTTATTCCTACCCCTGGTTCTTGTTCCCACCTCTGGTTCTTCTTCCCACCTACTGGTTCTTCTTCCCACCTACTGGTTCTTCTTCCCACCCCTGGTTCTTCTTCCAACCTACTGGTTCTTGTTCCCACCTACTGGTTCTTCTTCCCACCTACTGGTTCTTGTTCCCAGATACTGGCTCTCGTTCCCACCCCTGGTTCTGGTTCCCACCCCTGGTTCTTATGTTTCTTCCAGGTTAGCTCTTAAGGAATCAGAGTTACGCCTGTTGGTCTGGTCTTCCTCACTTCTGAAAGTCCCTCCACAGCAGGCTCATGCCACCCATCCCCCCCTGGTAATACGACTTTCACAAACCGGCCCCCTCAACCCATCCCAAACCTCTCCACTTAATAGCTCAGCTCTTCCAGAGGAGCTGCAAAGCCAAATACTCAGCAGTAGAGTCTTGGAGAAAGAGGAAGCATTGGTCTTCTGAGGGCAGAAAAGCCCTTCTGACCTTTTAGCTATAAAGAGCAGCCCAAACATTTAGCCCATCGGTCTGAATAGACTGGAGAATGGCGTCCATCCACTGTGAAATTCACAGGACACATGAACAGCAGAGACTCAGAGCTGACAGAGAACAGCTACGGCATTCTGCAGATACTCTGCACGGCCAGCGGGGGGAGCCGTACAGTGCTGGCAAATGTGTGCTTCCAACATTCACCATGCATGGTTTCTGTGCGTCTTGGCATGACTGCAGAGCTCAGCACAGCACATGCGTGGCTGGTGTAAGAGACTGACCCCCCCCCCCCCCAGCCACCCACCCCCAATAAAAGTGCAACTTCCTTTTTTATTTTCATCTACTCCCTCCCATAGCACCACCCAGGGCATGCAAAACTGAAAGAAAGAAAATGCTTCTCCTTGCTTCTTTATCTTTTTGAGAAAAATGTGTGTGTAAAGTCTTACTTTTACTACTGTGCAAAAGTCTTAGGCAGCCAAAGAAAATGTTTAAATGATCATCATGTTGGTGTAAAACTATGATATTATGCCTGTCAAAGTGTGTCAGCCGTTTCAAATCCTCTGCCAAAGTCACCACGGTGCTTGCGGCGACCATCCAATACACCCATGTGTTTCTTGACTCAACCACTACCACACTTCATCTCTCATTGGCTTTTTAAAGTAATCAAATTAACTAAGTTAATTAATTGAGTGAGTTTGTGGTGAAATTTAACTAATACATGGAATGGTTGTGGTGCCCCTGTGGAGAGGTTTGGGGACTGACTTTTTTTGGAGAACAGAAGAAATTATTACTAGTTTTTATTGTTACTCTTAATTTGCATATGTTCTAATGCTAAATTGAGTTTTTTTAAGTGCACTTTTTACCCAGACAAATATCTTTAAACATCCTTTTGACTTCCTAAGATGTTTGCACAGTACTAAGTGGGATCTCACTTGCAAACCTCCAGCATCCTGCACTGACGCCTTCAAATGATTTACTATTGTCTTATCGTTGGTATTAAACCAACACAGCTTAGAGTGTGATTTACGCACTTGCTGGATGTTTTTCTGGAAAATTATTATTATTACTCTCAGAGGTTCACGCAGCCTATACCTCTCAGGGTCTCAAAACAGCAACCTGCAGGTTCCAAGTCTTTGTTCTTAACCACCAGAGCTCCCACTGCCCTGTTTACATTGTGTATTTTACTTTGGATGAGGAGTTAGTTTGAAATCACTGGAAAACAGGAAAACCTTACTCTGACGTCATTTTCACACATTTAATTCCAGTTTTATTTTCACACCGTGTCACACTTTTCATAAATCTTATTCTGTGCTTTCATTTCAGTAATTCTACATGTCACATACCGCCAAATTCTTGCCTGACCAAAAATCAATAATTAAGACCCCACCACGTAGCCTTGAGGAATTCAGTCAACATGGACAAAAATAAGTTCTGGTTTTCTGACAAAGGAACAAACTTTCCAAGTTTCACATTTCACACCTCATGGAATATGAATTGAGTTGAGTTGGATTACCCAATATCACTGCATGGGATTCCCCTCCAATGCACATAAAGACACTGGGATTCCCCGTAATGCACATAAAGACGTTGCCTGTCGGGCCTACCTGCAGTATCCTGTGCCGTTGCTGTAGGGAATGCAGGTGCCATTGTTCTCGCATGGGTTCCTGACCCCCAGACATTGCAGGGCTGCAACACACAACATATTATGTCAAGCACAAATGCAGAAGCCTTTTCTTTGGGCAGCTTGTGGCCAACCTGATCTCCAAGGGTGCGAGAAGATTTTTACACAACCAAAGGTGTCAAACGCAAAATAAAACAATTATGGCAATGCTTTCATAACTGAACATGAAGCAATACATTCCAAGCAAAAATGAGTCATTCGGCCATACGTGATTAAACAAGAATATATCACGCTGTTATGATTATAATTCAAAGACCGGGAAACATTAATTTAAGGATAACAATACGGTAAACCTCCAACTGAAAACAGCACAGGAGGAAAACAGAAACGGCCTGAGTCACATATGCGAAGGCATTCAACCTGATTCAACCTGAAGCTGAAGCAGACAGTTTAACACACCAGTTTCTGTGTCCACTGCATAATGTGTTTCCGTTTGGAAAGGGTCAATCCCACGTGACATCCATAATGCTGACAACATGTTATACACTTCTAAGATAGAAAGTAACATGAATTTTGAGGTTTTCTATGTATTCAACCCAAGCAGTTACATGAAAAATATGCAAATTGACATAAAGTCATGCAAATTGACTCGTTGACACTAAGCTTGTCCGTTTTCTGAGGTATTATACTCACTGAGACAAGCCTAATTGTCACAGCGGTAACCCTGGGACTGCCCGTAAAATGGCAGGCAAATATTACAGCTACTAGTACTATTATACCCAAGTGAATACCATATGTAGACTGCCAGCTTCCTGTTGCTGTACAGTCTCAACTTAGACGGCTCTTCTCGTTTTTCTACTAAGCTGGTCACGTCTGACAGAATGAAAATCCGTGTTCTTGTGGCACGTTTTGCTTATTATTAGCGACGCTATTATTCCGGCCAATTATTCCGGCGTGATACCCTGGAAGAGCTTCGGGGAGAGAAGGAGAGGGAAGAGCCAAAAAAAAAACAAATGGAGAGAGTAGGACGGAAAGCCAGAGACTGGAGAAAGGGGGGAGAGAGAATGACAGAGGTCAAGAAAAAGAGAGCGGAAAGTAGACGGTCCTACTCTTGCCTATTATCCGCAGAGAAAAGGAAGTCGTTCAAAGAGTGTAAGGACACAGTGGAGCTTCCTGAAGCTGTTATGCCAATTGTTCAAAGCCCACACAAAAACGTATTGAGAGGATGAGCCCCCAAATGTGACCAGTGCTGTCATTAAGCCTAATTTAGGGGGAGCTGTATTGGCTTAAGTCATGAATAGCTTTTTATATTATATATGTCTTCCATCGCCCTCCCCAGCAAAGACCCAGCCCCCCTATCCATTCATCTCTAACTACACCCCTGAACTGAACGTCACCAGAATGCCCATTAACAGCGGCCTGCCCCCTTAACTGGAACCATGAGCCCACAGCCATTTCCATTCCCACAGGCCACCCTGGGCTTGTGCTCCAGTAGTAACGTGGAACATCTGGACTTCAAGGAGCCACTAAACCTAGTACTGTAGCTAGAAGCCCCAAGTCATATTTCGCCTTATCTTTCTGTGTGTGTGTTATGAAGGGCATTGTGATTCAGTATGTATCAGTCCAAAATGTGCCAACCCACCCTACTGCCATTAAACATCTGGACAGCAGTCGGGTTTCCTTGCATACTGTGATTCCTCTAACGGTCACTCAACTAATGTTGTCATGGCTACCCAGCCCATAGACTTTCAGTGATTGAGACCAACAGACAGACTACGATTTCCCTCTATACCAGTGTTTCCCAACCGAGTCCTCAGGGAACCCCGGACAGTCCACGTTTTTGCTTCCTCTCAGCTCCCAGCGCACCTGTAAAGGTATTCGGTGTTCCTGATTGGCTGGGAGCTTGGAGGAAGCAAAAACGTGGACTGTCTGGGGTTCCCCGAAGACTTGGTTGGGAAACATTGCTCTACACTGTCAGATAAAATGGTACTGCCCTGGTACAGTCTGTTCCCCAAGGTACAAACAACATTAACGTACCCGCAATGTTACAAAAATGTAACATATGGGGTGTAAATTTCAATTTCTGTACCACAAATTAGACTTAAAGGTACATTTACCTACAGTTAGGGTATAATCGGCAGACCCTTGAGGGTACAACCCCAACGACAAGTAATTGTACAGTCAAAGGCACAGATTGGTACAGCGTTACTTGAGATTTGACTACATTTCTGACCTATGGCCTGGATCACATCCCCAACCCAAACCCCTGTCTGCATTTTGCATTTACTCTTGCAAATTAAATCATTTTCATGGTTTTAAACATCCTTCAGTGAAATAAGAGCCTTATCCACAGATCAGCTGGTTGAAATTTGATGCCAAAGGAAATGAGAGGAAGGAAAAAATATGTAGTTTTTTATGAATATCAATTAGGAGAATTAATGATGACTATTAGCTTAAAGCTCTTAATTAAATTGCCGCATGACAGGGAACGTGCATATGGGTTTGGTGGGTGGGGTGTAACTCTGTGAGTTAGGACACATCTGTGCCCATGATCGTAAATTGCTGGTTCAGATCAGAGTGGTTTCATTGCTGGGAAATGCTACAGGGACTGGCTGACCATCCTCTCTCAATTGTATTTCGGGTAAAAGTGTTTGCTAAATAAATAAACGTGAATGTTCACGAGCCTGTACTGGACAACTATTTAGACGGTGGCTGGCCTCTGCTTTACAGTCCTGTGCCTTCACCATTACAATGCAGACAGGTGACAATGAGCTGAAGGGGAGTAATATGTACAGTATTAATTATTCAAATCTGACTACTGGCTACTAAAACAGGTGTAGTAACCAGAACGCGAAGCAGTACGTGGTGCCAAGGTAGGTGCGCTGGCATGTTTAAACCACCCTTCCATGAATCAGTGCCACCCGCAGAAAATAAGCCTCTGTGGTCACATCAAACGACATTTCGTTTCTCTGCTTTCTGCAATAGTTTTACTCCTGTACTGATACACTTTCACTGATTTTTTTTTTGTCATTTCAGCCTAAAAAGGTGAAATTCGTAGGCCTATTCGTAAACAACTCACTGCTTGTCCCACAAAAACAATAAACAATTGAAACATACATTATAGTTATTAAAAGTGTAAATCAATGAGGCGCAAACATAGCTCGCCATCACAGCGAACAAATACACGGATTTCGGCTCAGCTTCACAGAGTTCTTGTTGGTTCAGTACCTCGAATTAGACTTGAAGGTACATTTACCCACAGCTAGGGTACACAAAGCCGGCAGCATCAGCGGCGCACTGTCAGCTGTCAAATGTGCTACATCTGGTCATCCCCGTTCCCAATCATATTCTACGGCGGATTTCCGCGTTAGATTATCCAACTAGATGCGTTTCAAATACTATTTAATCCAGGCGCCAGGTCAAATTTGTCGGTTTGGTCGAGTTCTGTCGGATTTGTGTTATGTACAAGCCGGTAATCAGTAAGATAAGGTAAAGGGTGGCTGAAACCACGCTTAGGAAGGAGCGACAGTCACTAACATCCTTCCTTTAAGTCACCATAATATATCGGAAACTCAAACGGACATCAAACGACCCGCAGATGCAATAGGTACCCGATTTTCTAATAAAATAACCCCACCACGACCATGAACACCAAATCGGCGCTCCGCAATTATGGTATTAAACCAACAATAAAAATTCAAAGTCGCAAACCGAAATCAAAAGAAGTGTGTGCCAAAAAGATGTCAACTCATCTGGAGGACGAAGTGAAAGAGTAAATGCACATAGAACAGAGGATACTCAGACGGTGTAAATTCAAGCGTGTCCTACCCGCAGAGAGTGGAAAGCAGCAGGCGATGGAGATCAAAACTTTTCCCCAGAAGATAACGGAGTGATGGCTCATATTTTGAGCAGATCCACATAAGGTCACCCGCGCCTAGCGGATCACACGGGATGATCAGCCAGTTCGCTTGAGTAATTTATCTACCTTAAAAAAAGTAGAAGTACTGATGAAGAAAAAAAAAATGTCAGACGGCAGTTTAGCTGTATTTCACTGCCTGGTGCTACGCAGCCTCTATTGTCTTATTTTCCGATGTGATCATACCCCCTCCTGGAGCGCCGCCTGGGCAGATGCACGCATCGGAACCTCGCAGCTTCACCTCGCCGCCGCTAATTTAGGCTCGTGAGCTTCCGCTCCTTTTGCAAATGGGTGTCGCGCGCACACTGACCAGCTCCGTGGCCCCTTTGCGCAATTACTGCCGAGTGGAGCACAGCGATGTTTTTATTGCTGTTTTGTTTTATATTTTTTTTTAATTTCGTATTTAAAAAAAAAAAAAAAAAAACACTTGCCCATAGACCCTGGTGAAATTTGTGTTCTACTCAATACGAGGCGGAGGACGTCATACGCTTCTCAAAACCCGTTTTCCTCTTCTTCATTCCCGTACCTGTTTTAAATTTTTAAAAATTCTGTTTTAAGAACAATTTTACAAGTTGTGTACAGACGAGGGACCATTGCTATTTCAGTGTTTGGTAAAGTTGGGTTTAATAAGGTATTGAAAGTTTCAGTCGTTTAACTGCCACTGTGTAGACAACAACATCATTTCCAGGAACACGTATGATTTCCCGTTATATCACGTATTGCGGAATACGTTCCGTCGTATTAAATATGAAGAACAGTCATAGAAGGACTACTTTTGACATTATTGATAAAGAAAATGGGAGCATACTCATCCCTCCACAATACATAGCAATTCAATAAAAAACATTAAGCGAAATACTTAATACTACACCTTAAATGTAGCCTATCTTACACTGAAGGGGCGGTGTGATGAAATCAGCATAAAATCATGCTAAATTTGGCAACGGGATTGTACAGATAGCAATGATGACCCGAATAAGGTATACGCTTTGTTGAAGAAGTGCTTGCTAACTTTCTGGATATCGTAATAAGTTTGTCGATCAATAAATCACTTATGATGTCAGTAACAACAGTCGTTGATTTTTTTATTTATTGACATTTTATTTAGGCCTGTTAAGAATATGTATAATATACATACATCGCCAGGTGATTATGTTCAGAATAAAAAATCAGACTATTGGTTTAAATAAATAAAATATTTAATCTGTTCCAGGTTTCCGCTATTAGAACATATGATTACGCTTCACCTTTTTGAAATTACATCCCTCATAAGAATCAAAATAAAAAGAAAAGCTTTCAGCATATTAATAAGAAACCGTTGTCAAAATGATGGGTAGAAGAATTCAGTTAAACTCATCTAATATATATAATCGACCCACAACCTTAACCTCTGACGGCAACCATCGCCGCAACCTTTAAACCTTCACCATCTCAGGCATTGAGTTATACCCATTTTAATGCCGGGCGAGGGCGAGGCCGTTATTACACTCCAAGACGAAAGGTGGCGGTATGAGCCCCATATGGACGGCGCGCTAGTAATTAAATCAACCGAAGAAGAAGGTTTTCGGGTTTTAAAATCATCTAACTGCATGCTCTTGAGAATAAGGATTTAATCGTTTTTTTGATTAACGTCAGCCATAACTAGAAGTAGTTTTTGGGTAGCAGTAGGCTTACGTTCGGACAATGGTTCGTAAGCTAAAATTTCATGAGCAGAAGCTCTTGAAAAAGGTTGACTTTATTAATTGGGAAGTGGATAATAACTTACACGAAGTTAAAGTTTTGCGGAGATACCACATCGAGAAGCGAGAAGACTACACAAAGTAAGACATACATCAGTACTCCTCTGATTAATTGTCTGTGTGTGAAGTTTATATGTCTCGGATGGTTTACATTCGATAGTAATTATATACCTAGTCATATTCCTTAAATATCACGCTTATCTGGATGTTACGTTATTCTTTTAGACGTCTAATTAATTTGTACTTCTGTATAAATAATGCTAAATTTAAAATCCCATTGTATGAGTCGTATGGGTTTTGCTCACGTTGGTATATGGGCGCCGCCATGACAGTTAAGCTGAGTACGTAGCTAGTAATGAATCGTTTATGGTTAGTTGTAATGCATGTACCGAGTAAACCATTTATTAGTAGGACTGCTCGTTTGTAAATGAAATGGGTTGCGTTTTAACGAACTTTGATAGATAACACAAAACGGGTGTCCGGTGTATGACGCGGAATGTAGTCTGGTAGAAGCGTGACGGAACGGACGTTTTGAATAAGCAGGTGAGATCGAGGACATGTTATGTATATCAGTGGTTCAGTACGTATTTTAGCATGTCATTCGCAGATTTATTAATAGTCTCTCTCTCGTTTTGGCTATGTTGCGGTATTGTAGCTGTAAGGTATAGTACGTGTCTGATTTTACGTCTGATTTTATATGTTACGTTGGGTCTTGATGTGATTCCCAACTGACCCCGCAGGTACAACAAGCTGAGTCGCAACATCAGGGAAGTGGCGAAGAAGATCCGAGATCTCGACGAGAAGGACGGTTTCCGAGCACACAGCACCTCTCTTCTGCTGGAGAAGCTGTGAGTCTACAAAATTGTGTGTTTGTGTATGTGTTTACCACAATGTGGTAAAACCGGTTTTCCTCTTGTGGGGGGGCATTTTTCAGGTCCCCACAGTGACCGGAATATATGGTGTGTGTGTATGGGGTTGTTTCTAGCTGTTTCTCAAGATGGATCTTTGAAGCCTTTGGTCTGATTTGGTCACTTGTATTAATGCCTGTATCTGCTTCACGAAGATGTCAGGTAAGTTAGTGATGTTTTGTGTTTAGTATCTAAAGTAGTGTAACCTCTACACCTTTCCATAGGTACAGTGTGGGCCTCATTCCAACCAAACAGAACTTGGCCCTGGCTGATAAGGTCACGGCTTCCTCCTTCTGCAGGTGAGCAGAAGGTAGTGGGACTCTGCTGCACTGGCAGCCTGTAGCTGTGCTGAGTGTGTGTGCACTAAGCAGGAAGCATGTGATTCACTTGCCTGTTAGCTCTCATGTCACACGTCACCTGTTTTCCCTTCCTCCCCCTCTAGGAGGCGTCTGCCTACCATCATGTTGAGCCTACGCATGGCTCAGAACCTGAAAACCGCCATCACCTTCATCGAGCAGGGCCGTATCCTTCACTGGCTGCTTTACAATGTATTATCCATTTCTCTTTTATTTTTAAATGCTTTTTAATGGTTCCTTATACCAGTGGTTCTAGAGAAAACCTGGAACTTCTGATTAGAACAGAAAGTGCTCCAGAACGTTGTTGTTTTGACCATACCAATTCCTGCCCGGTTTATCTAAAAGATGAACCTACTAAGACACAAATTCGATCTAGTGGTGAGCAATGACAGAATTGTTACTATTGCTCTTAAAACCCTGCTTTAAAGAACACGTACACCCTGAACTGTGTGTTAGATGTGAGGGTTGGACCGGAGATCATCACCGATCCTGCCTTCCTTGTCACCAGGTGAGACCCCCTCACATGTTTATCACAGTGCCCTTTCTCTACTTCTTACTTCCTGCTTGTGGTGATGTCACAATTGCAGTGATGCAGCCTAGAATCACAGGGACACATGCTGAGCACCCATTTACATGATTGGTCCAAACCACCTTTTCCAAGTTTCACATCAGAGCAAAATATATAATAATAATTATTATTATGGATACTTTATTGATCTCCATGCGGAAATTCTCTTTACGCCTCCTCCATCTTGCTCTCCATGATAGTAAGCACGTTGCGGCGCCCAGGGAGCTGGGAGTCAAGGGCCTTGGTCAAGGACCCGCAAACGTGCTGAGGCTGGGACATGAACCAACACCCTTCTGATGACAGGCACAGAGGCTTAGCCCACTGAGCCACACGCTGCCCCCCAGTTCTATAGTGTATGATTTCAAAGATCGGTTTTCTTTGTGTTGAAGAAGTGATTCGGCATAGTGAGGAAAGCCTGCTAATGTGAGTATGGAGATTCAGAGAGAGGGCAGATTTACCAAGTTAGGTGAAAACTGCAGAAGCTTTGTTGGGGCAGCGAAAGATCTGGGACTTTTAACAAATGTAATAAACCATGATCCACATTTTATGAGGCTGTAACATGATGTCAGACTGTTAAGTGACTTGTACAGCTTACACTTGATTTTATTTCTATGATTTCATTGTGCTGTGTTTGACACAAGCTGGGTTATGAGCTGTGAGGCAAGCCTGATTGGCTGGTTAGCAGTGCCCACTGCTGGTCGATGATGTCATAGCGCTGCCAAGCCTAGTTCGTGCTTCACTTTTCCGCATGCGCTTTTGTGCGCATTCGGGCTGCAGATGGTCATTCGTGTGGCTGCTTGTGATCATTCTACATTTGGCTGTGGATGCAGATGCTGGCGGTCGGTGCGTGCATACAGCAGTGATATGCCACCAGACCAGGAGAGGGCAGATGCATTGTAACAAGTACAAATACAAGCAATGTACTGTAATAAACAGTTAACTTTAAAACTGCTCAGAAAAGTTTATTAGTCAAGGCTGGGGGAAGTATTACAGTAATAAGGCATACCATGGTATTTTGAAGTCCTTGTGATGAAATTAGCCAGAACTACCCACCCTGCTCACCGTAATTACAACAGCTGCTCTTCTTCTATACTTTCATCAGCGACGGCTGAGCTGTGAAAGTCCACACTGCCACCTACTGAAAATACCTAATCGATTTTCTTGCACATGCGAGGTCAATGCTCACAGATGTGCAAGGTTTCTGCTAGACATAAACATCGGGGCCTCATCCACACCGACAGCAGTTGCCTGCAGCCAACTCCTGATGATGAAATTTACGTCGCGTCCCCTCACCTGCGATCGATCGTGTGGGTGGAGAAGTGAAGTATGAACTGGCCTTCAGCGTCTCAAATCTATTTCCTGTTTCAGAAACATGGAGGACTTTGTCACCTGGGTGGATTCCTCTAAGATCAAACTGCATGTGATGAATTACAATGAAGAGGTAGGGTTACACAACTGATTGGTACACGATATGACAGATTTATATATTCCTGTGGCTCTTTGAGGTTTAAAACGTATGAAGTGAAGTATGAAAACGATCATTGCTCATTACATATTAGCCTTCCTGCAAATTTAAAATATCTTCCCTATTAAAAATTTACATTAGCATTAGTTCAGAAGAATTAACATTGCAAGGTGTGTTCGTTCAAAGATCTGTTTGTGAACTTGCACCCTTGAGCAAAGTATTTACCTTTGGTTGCTTAAATAAAACGTCAGACTGAATGGGAGACAACAGCCACACTTTGAGTAAAAGCAGCAGAATTAATGCATCCCTGTGATTCTGTGACATGTGGTCTTGTTTTTGTATTTGTATTTTCAGAGAGATGACTTCGACCTTGTGGTGTAGAGGGGAAGGTCGTTCCGGCCTTTCTTAGCACCCGGAACATGCAGAATTTGTGTGTGTGTGTCTGTTGCATGTGATCTGCATATGTTAAAATGTCAGGCAGAAAGGATAGCAGCTTGTGCAAGAAATTAATTTTTTTCCATTATCCAACAATACAAAGTTTTTTTTTTTTATCCCCAAATACATAAAGTTTATAAAATAAAACGATTTACATTGTAGATTAAAATTAAAGATCATAACGATTCTTCGTGATGGTTCTGGATACTGCATGAAATTGAACACACAAAAGCAGCCCAAACCACCCCCTCTTAACTGCCCATTACATTAGAAGGACTGGTCTGTCTGGTAGTTTCAGCCAACTGTACAATGTGGAATGTACTTAAGTAAATTATTCTGCTTCTCAAAGACTGATGTTTACATAAGAACACACCCCCCCCCCAAAGAGGGGAAAAAAACAAAAAACAAATTTGCACATATTCAGGTAGGCCAACACTTACAGGGACCTCTGAGTAAGCTGTTAGTAGAAAAACATTCCTATAATACAGCCAATTACATCAGTCTGATGTACAGCAGAAGATTCTTCCAGAAGCGTGAGCGGAGCGCTTACAGCCACCAAAAGCGCACGTAAATGATGAGGGTGATGAAGACCACGGCGCCGGCGGCCAGCTTGGCATACGTGGACCGCGTGTTCAGGTACTTGGCGTCACTGCGGTACTTCTTGGACAGGTTGGACAGGTTGCTGGCTTTGGAATCCAGAGCTGGGAGGATGCAGGGTTAGGGAACACGACCACCACACTGGTAAAAACAGAACCACTCCAGAACAACTTCACCAGCATTTTTGTAGCACCAACCAATATCCTCTATCACTTAAATACTGTTTTTTTTTTATTCTATACGGTTGCATTTATTTAGCAGATGTTTTTGTCCTAAGTATACAAGAAATATGGATAATATGCTGGTAGATATAATCTAAGTTTTCTACAGTAATGTGGTACATGGCTTGATGTTAAATGCCTGCATAAAGCATTGTGCACCAGAGAGGTAGTGCGGGGGTTCAGTTCAAGTTAATGAAGCACTGCAATACATTCCATCATAGTCCTACTTCTACACCCAACGTAAGCCCCTCCCATTCATTCTAGTACCAGGCCTATCCTTAATAGTTCTTAGGGAGGGTGTGTCCTAGTAATGGCCAGATAAAGCTTCATGAACCATTTGCTGTATTTTTCTCCTCACTAGATGGCGCTCTTGCCTAGCTTTGGGGCATGCTTTGAGCTGTTTTTATTTTTTTTTAACAGAGCACCATCTAGTGGGGTCAGAAAATACAGCAAGTGGTTCATGAAACCTCATTTGGCAATCACTAACATGTCCCACATTACAGCCTGCGGCAGCCGGACCGTAGGGATACGATAGAGGCGGCTGGGATGTTTCATTACCAGACAGGGCCTCTCCACGTTGAAGCACCTCTTCTATGTTAGCCACCATGATCCGCTGTACATCCTGCAGTTCTGTGTTGATGTTGCCCAGGTTCCTGCGCGCCCTGTTGTCAATGTACGACTTCTTTGTCTTCTGGATGTATGTGTCTGCGCGGTAAAGGGATTATGGGGCAGTTAGGGTAAAGGAGGTAAAGTCCAGAGGCTGTCGTTCACCTATCGTGGAGCATGTTCTGTGGTGTGAAAAAAGTACATGGAAGATATTCCACTCACCAAATTCGATGAAGGAGTACGGCCGGGAGACCGTGGGGACCTTCTTCCCGTGCCGCTCGTGAAACTCTGTCTGAAGATCTTCCAGGTAGGCAAAGGCCAGCTTCTTGGAGAATCCTACTTCGCACAGTGCCAGGTAGCACACACCCTGCTCGATCACATAGCTGAGGGGTAGCCCAGGATAGCAGAGGAGATTTCTTTCACCAATGACAGCATATCTTACTAGGGGAGGCTACAAATGGATTATTTTACACACCAGGATAGTTATATTACTGGCCCCAGCACATGGACAAGTCTGACAGCCTGTTATTCATTTTTGGAGTGACAAAAGACTAGCGTGACATCCACAGCTGTAATGTAACAAATGAGAGACAGACTGGCTGCAGAAATCTCACATGTATTTTGTCCAGTGTGCCAAGGTCATGGCTAATTATTCATGGGCTCATTTATATCATGGTTATTTTAAGACTCTACCGTTATTTGTGTACATGAACAGTTAATACAATGAATGCAGTGAGGAGCTACTAGACTCACTGGAATACCACGGATCCGGCCTCCAGCGTACAGCGGTTAGGGCTGTGCTCGTTCAGCTTGCGGAAGAGCAGTTTGGCCTGACTCTGATACTGCTGCAGGTCCCGACCCGACTGCACGGACGACAAAGGCGACACTGCATCATGCAACTCGCATTAATAAATGGAAAAGGACAGTGTTGGGCCATGTTTCCCATTGTTACCTGTTTTTAAGGGAAGAGGGGAAAAAATGGCACGAACCTTTTCGCTCCCCGTCACGAAAGCCCGTTAAAGGGAAAGCGATTTGAGTGTAAGTTTAAGTGACAAGGGTGAAAACATAGATTGGATTGGATTGATTTGAGAAGTGCAAGAAACACTAACAAGCGTACGAACAAGTCAGTGAAGGCAATTCAGGACACAACTGGAACCAAAGCTAACAAGCAGGTTTCACTAAAGTGATCGGAGGTACAGTCTCAGGGTATAGTGTTATAATAACTAAGGCATCACAATCAGTGGCTTACATCGATATTCTAGAGCACATATGCGTTGACATGAAGACACAAAATGAATATCCGCCAACCACGGAACATCATGCAAGTTGCACAAAAGTTACGATAGCCACCAGCAGCATACAATTAGGTTAACATCTTTTAAGGCAGGGCTACTTAAGAAACATCTCATTGAAACCTGTTCATCTTCTTGCATCGAGGCAGCAAGGAGCAGCCCATCCGCCACCCGGGCAATCATAGTCAGCAGAACCATTCTGGACTGTGTTCTGATTCCAAAGGGACAGCGCACACACAGCCGGGCCGTATGGAGCCAGCAAATCCAGCTATACTGCCGGATTGACAGCGTGAAGGCGCTGAGCTGGCCGGAATTGCCACTCACTATCGCGTCCCTACTACCCACCAGCCACATCGAATAGTTCCTACGTCTGCTTTGCGTCCTGTAATCGCATACAAAGCGATTGGCGATTTTTTTTTTATTTTTGGGGGAGGGTTTACGTGTTTGTGTGTACAGGGGGGTCTGCCTGTGCGGGTGATGTTAGAAATGAGGTTCATAATAACCTATAAAGTGGCGGGCGGTTTGTTTGTTGAACTACCAGTGAACTAATACTGTATTCATCTGTTTATTTTAAAACTATTTTAAGAACAACACCAATGTAATACTCACAAACGAGTATTGGCTTACAATATGCATGTCATTCTGCCGATGATCATATAAACGCCTTTTGTGCAATAACAAAGACAGACCTATTTGTTTTTAAGTAATCGGGATAAGAATGTGACATGTGACTGGTAATAAAAACATGTTTCCGCCCGGTTTCGAACCGGGGACCTTTCGCGTGTGAGGCGAACGTGATAACCACTACACTACGGAAACCTTGGCTATGTTCTAATTCGCATTCGTGTTAGCTGTCATTTACACAAAATACAATTTTTAAGATTTTGGATGAAATGCAGTGATATCGAAGTTCTTTGTAAAAAATATTGTTAGGATGACTAATATGGAGGACTAGACATGACATAATTATAAATAAATAAATGTGTGAATAAATAAGTAAATACTGAAATAAATAAATACATAAATACAGTTTGGCCATGAAAACTGCTAAATGGATTCCTATATTTGTTTATTAACGTATTTAAATATTTATGAATTTCCACATTTCGTCATTTATTTATTTATGTATTTCCACATTTCTACATTTATTTATTACTGTATTTCCACATTGTTAATAAGGTGGGCGGTCCCAAAAGCATGATTGGTTAAAAGTCGAGCTTCCTTGCGACTCAATTAGTGACTTTTAACCAATCATGCTTTTGGGACCGCCCACCTTATTAACATACAGAGACAGAAATGCAGAAATAAATGAATGTAGAAATGTGGAAATACAGTAATAAATAAATGTAGAAATGTGGAAATACAGTAATAAATAAATGTAGAAATGTGGAAATACAGTAATAAATAAATGTAGAAATGTGGAAATACATAAATAAATAAATGACGAAATGTGGAAATTCATAAATATTTAAATACGTTAATAAACAAATATAGGAATCCATTTAGCAGTTTTCATGGCCAAACTGTATTTATGTATTTATTTATTTCAGTATTTACTTATTTATTCACACATTTATTTATTTATAATTATGTCATGTCTAGTCCTCCATAGGACTCAGACCAACTTTTTAAAATTAAGTACAATGATGAGAGACCGCGAGCTCATTCTTAAGCAGAAAAAAACAAGTTTCACTAGTAAACAGTAGAGGGTACTGTTTCTTAACCCAATTGAAAAGCCATGCAAAAATCTAATCTTAATTCGCGTTTTTCAATCTCTGATGGATTTGGGCTCGCTCAACCCTACAGGCAACATAGGCAGCCGCCTGGGCGCCAATGGCCAAATTTGCCTATGACTGGGAGCTCCGGTGGTGATGTTCTCCTTCATTGGCTATAGGACCGACCCTGGCTGTGCTGATTCTGTTTTGTAATGTTTAACGAATATATATATTCAAGTGTTCACTACTCATGTTAATAGAATGTAATGAAAATAAGAAAAATTGCACACACACATATACATTTTACACAGATATATACATTTAATGTACACACACACAGATATGTATGTGTGTGTGTGTGTGTGTGTGTGTGTGTGCGTGTGTGTGTGTATATATATATATACATTTTTAACTCCTACATACACTATCTAGTCATATATATAGTAGTGTACGTAGGAGTTAAAAATTCCGTGTTGAATCTATGAATCTTATCTTTTATATCACGTATAAAATGTGTACTGAAAATCTTGTTCAGATCGAAGCTTAATAATTAAGATTATAGAATGCAGCTCAATCTTTCTTATATCCACTTCCCATTCCATATCTCACCCTCAAACGTCACCACAGGCCTATTGGTAGTTATAATTACATCCTTAATTGTGGCCTCTAATATGAAAAAATTACTTTATTTTGGTTTATTTGCTATCGTTTTCCACTGAAAGTGGTTGTGATGTATTATCTGCCTCACTCGCACTTCGCTTCGGTGAAATATGTAAATTAAATGAACATATGGGTCTCAATACGGAGTTTAACGAATCAAAATTACGCACACATTTTTGTACCTAAGATTCAGTCACCTTTAAGTTTATTATGCTTAAACATTACTAGGCGTAAACCCTTTTCCTTTCGAATGCATATAAGAAACATAATACTCTGTATAAGAGCTTGGAGAATGGATGGGTGGCATTAAAATTGATATTGTATGTTTCTTTTGTTGTTGTTGTGTAATACATGATATTGTTTCGATATAGCGCCGGTCTTTTCTCTGCTCTGTATTCGTCTGTTATGGTCTAGACATCTTCTTTCCACGCACACACGGGGATCGACGGCGAGAATAGGGTTTGATTATTTATGCCTGGGAATTATTTGGTCCTAAGCACGGTCGAGTTCCTGCCCGACGCTCAGCTTGAAGAGCATCTAATTTGTAAGAGAAAGCCGAGTGTAACCGACCGAAGGCACTGTAAGGTAAGTACTGAAGCAGCCTATCAATTGCCTATAGGTGCATCGTGTATAGTAAACGTTTAAGCAATTTAGATGTTTTATTATCAGGAAAATTGCAACGAATCAAATGCTTTTCTTAGCTGATTCTTCCCTTTTTTGTTGCATTTTCTTTTGTTGTTGTTTCCTGTGTCGTGGCTAATTTTGTGCATTTCCCTTCCCGTCTTTCCACTCGGCTTCGGCTCTGCAATCGGCGTGAGAACGGCGGACCTGAACGCAATTACGTTCTAATTTTAAGCCTTAGTTGGGTGTGTGGCTGGTCATGGCAGTTCCGTGTGATGTTCGTACGCCTGCGGTCCCGGTGGCTGAGATTGATCAGTGTATTGGACGTCGCCAAAGCCTCTCTGTCATAGAGAGGGACGGATCGTGCCATTTCTGCGGTGCACAGCTGGCTGCAGCTGGCCAGTCATGAACCACGTCCGTCGAAGCGCCGATCCGGTTATGCGCTGCACTGTTAACAAGTTGGGGCTAAGTTTGTTTTGTAACAGTGCGGGCGTGTAGGTTAATAAACACTGGGGCCGGTATTGCATCAAACATCACCGCTCATCGGTCACCGCAGCTGACCGGATAGACAGCTTGGGTAAGTCACTGGTTATGCTTATTAGTTTCCATCCCGTGGGCATTTTCCCCCTTTAAACAGACGGACTGATCGGCGTCCTGGCACCGCTGTCCGTGTCCCAGCCCCTTTGTGTAAGTCCGGTCTGGGCAAGCGTGGGGCGCTATATTCAGGACTCTGTTTGGTACCATATTAGGTTATGTCCAAGGAGCGTTAATTTTAGTTCGATAAATTAATACAGCTACTATGTATTCTAAGCATAGGGATTCGAACAATTTCAGTTTTAATTTCAGTTACTTAGTCTGGTTGTTAGGTTAAATGTATTTGTAAAACGAGCTATCAATCGCTCCGTCGAAGATCCGAACCAGGCAGAACCGAGACCCAATCGTACGCGTAAAATAAAAAGGCTGGACTCCTCACTCATTTATTACCGTCTGCCTTTATCTATTTATCTGTTACCCCATCTGTATATTATGCTCTGCTCCCTGACCCGTGTACGCGAGTTAAGCCTCTCTGCCATTTATTCCGATGGGGATAGACGGCGACCAGATCGTCGCCACCGGAGTATCTAATGGTTTCCCTTTTCGAGAACAAAACTTTAGTTTCTGATGTGGAGTTTTATGTTTATTTGTTCTGCTGTCACTTGCCACTGTATGTTAAAATTGTGCTTTAGGGTGAAGCAGCTGGGGGTCCGAATGAAATTTTAATGTATTAATGACATGTATGGTAGTAGTCCATTGATTTCTAGGGGATGTAGAGGGAGTATTCCTGGCAGAAGGTGGAGGAAGAGGGCACTTATGTCAAGTGCCTTTGTTTATGTCTGTCCATGAGACAGTGTGCTGTATGGTTTGACCCTAGACCCGGCTGGCCTCAGGTGAGGCTTGGTTCATAGGGCCGGGGAGTATGTGGTTCTAGGTGTCCCTGTATCTGTGTGCGCGTGACCCTACTGGATCAGGGGACGGCTGCTGTGTGATCTTCCCAGTAACGCCGTGCATGTGTTTGTCTTGCATGTGTTTACCCGTTGGTCTACATGGGTGGGGGCAGGTATGCCGGAATATGTAAATACGAGTGGTTGTGTGCGTGCGTGTCGGTGTGGGTGTGCGTTTCATCGCTAGCGCGCAGGCTCCAGCCCACACTGAACGGCAGCACTAGACGGGCACGCACGCTTACCTAATCCTCCTCCGGAGAGCATACGCAGCGCCGCTCGGCTGGCCCGGCGATCAGTCATTGCTGCGTGTGCCGATATTTTCCCCCTGGGCTGTGCCGTTCCCTTCCCGGCATTCAGATGACCCAAAAATATCCATTCAAATTCCCCCTCCCAGTTTGCGATCACGTTGGCCCCGAGGCAGTTTGCATCACAGGTTATGTCTATACTGTGCTGTTTATTACTATGAATTTCAGTCCCTTTTCCATTAAAACCAGTTCTGCTGGATCTATTTTAGCTGCCTGAGCATGTTTGGAATACTGTTCTGTGTGATGCTACACCCCCTTGCTTCCCAGTACCAGTAATGCGGCTGTTGCAAAGCATACAGCCAGGGGTTCTGGGGAAGGCTGCAGCCCGTAAAGGTGCATTTACCCCACCCCCCAGCAACAAGCAGGGACGTGCTTACAGACACACACACACACAAACATGCCTCCCTGCAAACATACTCACTATGCTCAAGGAATTTTTCTACCATCCTGGGGCTCAGTGTAGACTTGTCGGGGAAACGTTGAGACTGTCAGACTTGCTGGGCTGTATACCTGAAACCAGCAACGTTTTGCTTAGCGAGAGACAATATGGCTCCTGGTTTTGGTGGTGGTGGGGGGGGGGGGCTCCCTCTGTGTTGTACCGCTCCAGCTGTGGATGGATGGCATCTTTACCATCCATCGTCCAGCATGCCTCTGTCTGTCTGTATGTCCCCCACTCTCTGCTCCATCCGTTGGTGTTTCCGTCCATCTCGTGACGTTCTGTTCCATCCCATTTCCCCAAAGTGCAATGATCCCCGGCGGGGCTAGGGCGTAAGGCGATGGGCTGCACCTCAGCCAAGCAAGTGTCGGCTGTGCCCAACGACGAGGAGGGCCGGGGCAAGGCCTACAGCAACGGCGACCTCCTGAGCGGTGAGTCCAGCCGTGACCCTCCGTCACTCGCCGGATCACCCATCTGGTTTTGCATCAATGGCAACTTTTGTCAAACCGATCTCTGCAGTGTCTGATAAAGAGCCATTCTGATTCCAAGAAGTGTTAACCACATCCTGTTTCAGAAGCTGTATGCATTGACTGATTGCATATGATTTATTGACTCAAAACTCAGGATTGTCTAAGCTCAGGATTCCCTCAGCTTCCATAACAGCTCGTGCAGTGTGCTGCTATATGAGCGGGCAAGCAGGGAAACGTGAGGAACGTGCTTGACGAGATGCCTCCCCATCAGCAGGCAAATTGGAGATACTGATTCACCTAAAATAAACCTATGCGAGCCCCACCCTCCACTTTGGGGGTAGTGAGGAGACAGTGTTTACAACTGAACCACCCTGCTACCCTAATTTTGAAATTTTAATTAATATATAATTTCATTAATTTTAAGTCTGCTTAAAGAAACAACTCCCTGAAATGTAATTGATACAACGGTTTTAAAATAGTTACAAATCCAACATAAATTTGTATTTGCATATTGTTCATTTGAACCATTTTAGCATTTCTAGAACTTAGAATGTGTTCTTTCTCTGGTGCCAGACACTGGACAATCAATGAATTCCAAGTCAGATTTCCATTCACTTCAGCACAAGGTACACTCATCACTGATCCTGGATCAGAGACCTAACTGACTGTGACTATTGCTGGGAATTGTTTGGGGGGTGGGGGGGTGAGTGTTCTCTTTTAGCAGAAGGATTTAGAAGAAGGTTAATTCTCCAGGTGGCATGGAGATGTTGGAGTTCACAGATAGTGTTCTGTTGGTAACTGTTTTGACTGTTTGATGATGGAGAGCAGAGGGGAAAGAGAGCATGCTGGGAGATCACAGCAAAGATGAGGTATTAGTGGCAGCATGGGATAGTGGCACAGATTAACAGATGATGGACACCAGCTGCTCAGCTGTAACATCTGTCTTCATCCCAAAGGGAAGACAGTGTGCTACTGTTCTTCAAATGGAGAGGGAACGTCAGGGTTCTGTTGTGCCTGCCATAATTCTCTCTCTGTCATTTATTTATAGATATTTATTTTTATGGGATCGACATGAATAGTCAATGGAGTAGGGATATGTCGAGGTGAAAGTGTGGTGAATCGGTGAACTGGTTTCTGTGGGGTGTTGGATGTTGCTGAGAGTGAGAGTGTGGAACCAGTTCTAACCAACAGAACCCTGGGAATCGTCTTACATGAGGCTTTCAAGCTTGAGGGCCTGTGGGTGTTCAGTCAACGTTAGAGCCAGCAGCCCTAAGCCCTTCCAGAAGAAAAGAGAATGAGAGAGAGAGAGAGAGAGAGAAAGAAGGAGGAGAGTACACAGCTTAGAGCTCAAAAGGGGCTGAATGGGGAGTAGAAATGGGAACCACTGGAGAATTAGACCTGACCCAGCAGGACTGACACATCAGCTAGCTAAGGCCCAAAAGTAGTACCCAGAGAGCGGGAAATTACACCAGGCAGCAAAGGTTATGCGGTTAGACCTAAAGGATGCTGTCTCCTGAAACGATGGAAAACACTGAGGGAAGGAGGGAGGGAGGGAGGGAGAGAAAGAGAGAGATGGGAGAAGGAGAGATCTACACTGTTGACCTGGATACCATGGATTATAGCAGTCCTCACTGTCCTCTCTCATATCATTTTGTCTGTGACTCTCCTGCCAACTCCGCTAAAAGGGCTTTTATTGATGTAACAGAATAAGCTTTTGGCTCTGGCAGGACCACTTACGCCCTGCACGGTGCTCATGTGAGGCCCAGTGTGCATGGGTGTGTGTTTATCCTGACCCTAACCCTCACCCTCTCCCACACAATGGCAGGAAAGGCAGAGGTTGCGCTGGAAAGAAGGCCAGCCTATCGACGCTGTTTAACACGGCCAAGTTCCATTGTTTCATAAAGCCAGTAAATATGTTTTTCCCCTCCTGTAATTGCTTTGGCTACTGGCTGTTTAGCTGGACATTCAGGGGGGTGGAAAAAATAACAAACGCCTAACAATATGTTAATATCAAGATGCTAATAAAGAGTTGGGCTAGTTACCTGCAGAACAGCTTAAATCCTTTGTGGAGTATTGTCCTGAACTGTGGTGGGGACATGGAGCCATTCAAGAGAAAAGCCTACAATTCCTCAGAGGAACTTCTGCAAAGGTTTAATGGTGTTTAGATCTGGTAGTTGAAGAGCAAATTTCCAAATGGCACTCAAGTCACAGGATACATTTTCGAGAATTTCTGTGGCCTTGGTGAGTTCTGGAAATTTCACAGAAGTTCTTCATTGGACTAAGTGAGTTTTGGTTCCCAGTACTGTAACGTATAATGATGAGGAGGCCTGACTTTAGGTAATCGGCGGACTGATCTCAAAACTAACAAAAAATTGACTGAGTGTGTTTTGGTTCCCAGTACTGTAATATGCGACGAGGGAGCTTGACTGTAGGTCATTAGCCGTCTCATCTCAAAAACTGGAGTGAGTGGGTTTTGGAAATGTGCTGTTCAGTTGGCAGAAGCCATGGAAGGTGTTTGCATTCATGAATTTATTCAGTTGCGTGAATGGGAGCATTATCATCTTGGACTATGGTGTGACACCCTTACGCCAGCTTACACGTCTTTGTGCTTGGGATACAAATGGTTTCCAACCATTGCCATAAATTCCAGCTTTGTGAGGCTGACGATGTACAGTCTTTCCCGAGACTAGGTTTAGTTGTACAGTGATTTATGAGCTTGTACTTGTGTGGTGTTTCATAACGGTTCTGTTAAGCGTTCTTCTCTCTGGCATTGACTTTCGGCCGCTGGTTCCTCCTTCCTCATGCGGTTTGTCCAAGTTTGGCAAATGTCGCTATAGATTTTGAGACCGTTCCTGCTGACATGCTAAATATTTTTGCGTTTTTTCTGAGCAATGCTCCTTTAGTTGGGCCACCGAATATTTAGCCTCCTTGCAACTCATGTAGTTGCCTTAAGTTGCTTTGAAAACACATATCAAAGTGCTGATAGTCGCCCCCCCTTTTATAACTGACACAGACTGCTAACTGGCATTCGACCTAATATGACTCACCTAATAGCTGCATTTGTAATCGGGATTGAGTGACTTCAAAGCCCTTTTCATGTGCTGTTTCCATTATTTTTTTCCGCCCCTCGTATTTACATTCCTAAAGCCAGTCGCTGACGCATATACCCGCTTACCCTCACAGCACCACATTTACATTTATTTTTATATAGCAGACGCTTTTGCCCAAAGCGACGTACAATCGAGGCAAACAGCACATTACAAACATATGACTGTTGCAGAGTCAACTTGGCCCAAGTGCAGCTTGGGTGAGCGTTAGCTTGGCTAAAGCACAAACTCAACTTCTCCATTCCTCTAACAGTGTATCTCACTTTCTCCGTCTTGTCCTTAGTCCATTTATCTTATTAACCTTTTACAGAAACACCCTTTAAATAGCATGGACAGATGTACCCTTATTGCCAAAGCAAGACAAACCATATTATATACATATAAATAAATTGATTAAATGCTGAATAGAAGAAAAAGTTAACTGAAATTCAGAAGGAATATTGGTAACACTTTGAGGGGATACAATACCTTAGTTACTCAGTTACTACTCAAGTACTAATCATAAACAAATACAGTATTATGCAAGTTGCTAAAATAGTTAACCATGCTTTTGGAAAATGCATCCATGACTGGTTGATGATGGACATGGGAACACTCGGCTTATGATGAATTAATACATTGAGTATACTACTACAATATTTGTGTCCCTCAAGTAAAATGTTACCAGAATATTAATATTAGATGTACACACGTTAAATATGACATCACATTTATCTAGATTGGACTGCCAGATTATCCAGTATCTCCAAGCAGGAATGTTGGTTTGTAATTGCTTTCCAAATGTGCGAGGGGAGTTTGAAACTTTGGTAAAATTGATGTTTTTAATTTCTGAATATTTAGTACGGTGACCACATAAGCAGTCTTCTGTTGCTGGCCTGGATTTATTCTCTGTGCCTCTGAAATGAAAAGGAGGGATGAAGAAAATATGGACAGGAAGACAGAAGCCTAGTGAATGGATATAAACTCTGTTCTCTTGGATCCTGCTCTCTCTTTCTTTCTAGATGAGTACAAGACCCAAGGGGTGGAGGAGGTGAAGTACATGGTTGGACAGGAAGATAGAGTGAACGCACGCAACCATGAGAACCTGGTGAGTTATCTCCTCCACTGACCACAAGACCATTAGATTCATTCTATCATGTGGGTGCAGCTATGAACCATAAATGCAAAAACGGAAACTCTCTGTTTCAGGAGAAGTATGGGGTGGCACGCAGGGACAAACAGTGCGAGGTCCCAGCAGCCAATGGCACCAAGCCAAAGTGAGTTACCTCCGTTTGCCGTGCATGTGTGTGTGTGTGTGAACTCTCTCTGCTCATCACACGCACGATTGTAAATGAGAACAATGTTAACATGCCTGAAGCTCTAACACCGTCATTTGGCACTCTTACAGCGTGCACTATTCAGCGTTAAAACGGACATAAAAACCATTGCCGGAAGTGATTCTTTTGTTCCTCACAAGGTTTTCATTCAAAAATGAATAGATTAGTCTTCATTAGAGAGATGTGAGAGTTGGAAAAACGCACAGAATAGCTTCTTAAATGCATGGATTTTCTCAGGTTGACCATAATTTTGAGTTTTGGGTCAAAAAAAATATCCACACAGCTATGTATGCTACTCTTGAAACAGCAGGATCTATGCTGTGATAGATCCAGCTGTCCTTCCAATTGTAACAATTCCCAAAAGTATTTCATTCATACTCTTCATGAGAAAACTGTGATCTCCTCACGGTTCGAATTTCACAATCCACAGCATCAACATGTCGGACAGCCAGCAGGAATTCTTCAGGATGCTGGATGAGAAGATTGACAAGGTGAGACGGAATTGCGCAATAATGACAGCCTCTGACTGGGATGGGAGAGTGAACCAATTCTTATCAACTATCAATCTTTGCTGAATTACTGAAGACCTAGGCTCACGCAGAGTAGACCAGGCAATACGGTCACTAGTATTTTAAAGCGTAGAATGCTTTTCCCCCAGGTTTCATGGTACTTATCTGTACTCTGGCGCTAAATCTTGCAGAGTCATGTGGTTACATTACATACATCTTGTATCCTATACATACATATTTCAGCTGGATTTTCATCAATTCTCTAACTGTTTCTGTTCTGCTCAGGGACGAGACTACTGCTCTGAGGACGAGGAGGACGCGACATAGCACAGCGTCCGCCAACACGACTTGGCACCCCACCCCAGAGTGAAAATCGGCAGATGTTGGAGGGAAGGGATGTATGAACAGATGGGCAGACTGGAGATACTGACTCTATGCCATCAGCCACAAATCCCGGATAATGAGGGCTGCAGCCACCCAGCCTCCCCCACCCCCCCCACCTCTGCCCATGTCCGAGGGAACCCCACCCACCAGAAAACAAGCAGATTAATGAATAAGCCCCACCCCCTCATTGTGATGTTGTGGACTCATCACCTTAAAAAGACTTAAAAGCCCAACAGAGACTTGAGTTGGAGTTGGATCTTCTCACAGGAATCAGCGGGACACTGGATCTTGCAGCTGCTTTTTCCCCCCCTTTTTATTTTCAGGATTACGTTATTTTTAAATCTGTCACTCTCGTATGATTTCTCACACTGCACAGCTTTTTGTAGGAGTATTAAAGGGACCCAGAACATTGAGGTCAGGCTGACTTTTACCTCCCTCCCCCCAATACCCTGGTTTGGGCACTTTGGAACAGACACAGGCAAGCACACTAACCACATCCTTAAACCAGTGGTTTTGTATCCTAGTCCTGCAAAGCCATTGTTTACAGGTATTCTAGCTGCCTTTACAGTGTTAATGAAGAAGCCCAAATCCGAAGTGAAACCGATTCAACCAGTAATAAGTAGTTAGTTTTTTTTTAATACACAGGTGCACCAAATATTTACACATGCAGGGGGCTTCCAGGGATTTCACACACAGCACGCCATGCGCACTGAGTCACATTTCCCAGAATTCCATTACACATGCAAAAACCCAGCCCCTAGCGCCAGCCTATCGCTGTGGCATCAGCATCCTCCAGTTCCCCCTTGGAGGGAGGCAGATGGTCCAGACTGACCTTCACTTCTTCCTGTCCCGCAGAAGCACACTCCCAGGGTTCGAGACACAGTCCAGCAGAGACACAGTCCCAGCCTCTTACTGCCTTTATACTTTACTCAATTTTTTTTTTTTTTATGAAAATAAAAAAAAACACTTTGACCTTGTGACCTTGATCATGTGACTGTCGGGACAGGCATCAGCCCTGTGTCCTGTTAATCCTGCTCACTGCCATATCTGTCGTGTTTACCTGTCCTTTCTCTGCCCTGAGCCTAACATGACATGTCAGCGCCAGGCTGTTACTGCCCCCTTCTGTACGGACAGCATCACTACAACCAGACCACAGATCGTCATTAATTATAATTAATAATTATAATATAAAAAGAACAGGCCTGTGGCCCTCAGCGCAGCCTGCGCTTGCGGTGCTGGCTCCGACCCTTGTCCTGGATGTCGATGGGGGGGTCCGGAGTCAGGAGGCCCTCACATAATCTCTGGTATACCAAGCTGGAATCTGAGGCCACAGCGCACAAGAGCATGGAGTCACCACCATTCAGCACTGAGCGCACCCTGGGGGGGAGGACAGAAAACCAAAAGACAGAGAAAGAGTGAGACGTAGTAATGGCTCAGGAACGGGTGGCTGCATCACACTAGAAGGCAGTGTTTCCCAATCCGGTCCTCAGGGGCCCACAGACAGTCCATGTTTTTGCTCCCTCCAAGCTCCCGAGCAAAAATGTCGACTATCTGTTAAGGAGCTGGAGGGAGCAAATACGGACTGACTGACTGGATTGGGAAACACTGGAGTAAGGTAATTAACCCAGATTTAGCTCACTAGAGGGGTAAAATATGAAAAGAACCCCCAAATAGAAGAGCATCAGCTAAGACTAAAATGTAAAGCAGTCTAAAGGCTATGTGTAGACATCCTAACTCTTCCGGGAGTCTGCTGCTAATTGACAGCAGCTCCCTGACACCCAGGAATGACGTGCAATGTCCTGGAAGTTTGTAGTTCCACTATATAGTAAAATATGTGGGCAAGAAGTTTCACCACCACAACACCACATTTTACCAACACCCTCTAGCCATGGTGAGGAAGCCCCAACCCCCAGAATTGTTATTAAATTCTGATATTCTTAAACTGCTACATACATTGGAGCAGGTGTAGTCTTGTACTACGTTTCAACACCCAAAGATGCCCCAGCCCTGAATTTACCATCTGTGGCTGAGAGTCCTGTTTCCGGGCAGCGGGAGGATGACCTGCAGCGGGTCCCCCTCCTTCTCCCGGCCCTCCAGCAGCACCAGCTGCAGCTCAGGACTGCCTCTGCTGCACACGTCCTGCCACTGACGGACTGCTCAGCATACGGACACGCAAGTTAGGAAAGATCGCCAAAGTTTACACTGCCGCACCGACTTCAGAAGCTGGCAAATGAAGCAGTTCTGCTAATGTAACATTTCATATTTTCACGTTCAAAAGGAAGAAAGAAAATATTCGTATATGGTAGGCTGATCAATAAAAAAGATGTAGCCTACTATGCCTTTATTACAAACGCGCATGTCTCCCACGAACCCAATTTATCCAAGTATGTTACAGTATTCAAAACCTAAAAACCAGTTTTAAATGACCTCCAAGAATGTTAACACTCACCTTCTAGAAGATCAAGGTAAACTAAGAATGCCGCGTAAATCTGACTCTCGTCTCCAATCTCCAAATTCATCATTTCTTGATACTGTAAAACAGGCGTGATTATAAGCTGCTCTGTTCATATATATGCCCCACGAAACATTCTCAGTATAATCAACAAGACACCTTTGGGTGCTGTAAGATCCAATTAGCAGGGAGCGGTCGCTCATCATCTTCAGCTTTCGTTGTGTCTGTCATAATTCAAGTGCCCTTGCTTGCAGTTTTCTCTTTTATTAAAACACAATAAGTAAATACACTACAAATAAGCATCCGATCTACTCCAACACGTGAAACCATGTTCATTACCGCAGTCAATATGGTCCGGGTGGCACACAGTGCTGCCGTGCGGAAGTTCCAGCTACAACAACCACTCACTCAGTTTGCGTGCATCTCTCGTGTCTTTAGTGTAGTTGATTTTATAAAGTTCAAATTGACATTATGTAGTAAAAAGTGTAGTTCTGAAATTAAAGAGGCGTCACTAAAGGAAGTTAAGTGATCGTTTAACAATAACGGTCGTAATAGTATACCTAATTTTTAGCTTTATAAATCCTTATGTTGTCACTGTTATTATTTATAGTAATAAAATAGTGACGAAGGGCATGGTTACCGTAACGATCACGGTTCAAGCGTCAAGAAGGCTCGGCTTTTAGTATCAAAGTACAATATAAAGTTATATTACAAAAGTACAATAGCCTATAAAGTACAAAAATGTAGGCCTACAATTGTTACAAAGTATAATATAAAGTGACGTTACAATCCCCAAACGACTCTTACAGTTAAGTTGTGATCACATAAGTAACTAAGAACGAGTGCCCCTAGAATATCTTATATTAAAGTTTCATTGATTAAAATGCGTTTTCGCAAATCCCCTACAAATGCACTACAGCTAAGGAGTACAGACCCCTGCTCTGAAGGAAACAGAAGTGCTCTGTATGGTAGTTTCCGTAGTGTAGTGGTTATCACGTTCGCCTCACACGCGAAAGGTCCCCGGTTCGAAACCGGGCGGAAACACATTTTTGAGCAGGCGGCACACATGATGTGTGTGAAAATTTACTATAACTTGAATGTTCCTGAGCACTGTTTTCACCAGTAATGCTTACATCCATGTAACAAGGGAAAGTGACTGATAGGCTACTACCATGTGACAAGTTGCGTTTACGTGTGCAAACGTACTCTGTGTTCTGAAATTAAACGGAACCTATTTATAAAATACAAACATCACTCTTTTAAACTATATCTGAACGGATGCCCACATAACTCGAATATTGGGGGACTTATATAAATACTACCAGGGCAAAAACACAAAGATCACCAAGTTTAAATGCAGAACAGTCACTGTACTGTCACGTGCGTTGCAACACAAAATATATTGATGTAGGTTAGTGTTCATATTCAGCATGTGAACAAACCTGATTTGGGGCGATCTGTGGTTCAAGTCAATCATACATGGATGTATGCTCTTACCCCTCCCTTTACTTAGCGTGCCGGCTGTCACTGAAGGGTTCACTCAGCCCTCACTAACGCAGTCTCGGCGGATCGCTGGGAGGAATAGCGGTATTTCGCCATAGGAATTATGCTGGGGGATGCTGCGAGAGTTGAGCTACTGGTTGCGGTTCTGGTGGCTCTGGTGCCGGGATGGCACGCTGAGCTGGTGACTCCCGGAAAGGAACCCGTTCATACCGAATCTCCTCTGCTTATGCCGACAGTCATGATCGCTGTTCTGGCTCGTAACGCAGCACATAGCCTCCCCTACTACCTGGGCTGCATCGAGAGACTGGACTATCCCAAGGACAGGATTGCTCTCTGGTGAGAGGACTAATTTCACAAACTTCACTAAACTAAACTATATCACTAATCGACAGCGTGTAATACATTTCTATTCTTGCTGACGTGCCATAAGATCAATTAGAGTTGGTGCGCAAACTGTCAGTGCGCAAGATTTTCTTATACGACGCGGTCGATTCATATGTGTGCGAGGCGTCAGGTGGCAGTTCGCATAAAGTGTGTTTTAGGTTAGGGCATCATTGTAAAATAGTGTAAGGAGTGTAGTGCAAGGAAATTAACAAATGCGAAGCTTGAAGAAACAGAAATTCCTGCAACGAACAGAGCCGAGAGAGTGGTTGTACTTTTTACAGGGGAGCTGCGCACTTCGTGCAGACAAGCTTGCGATTTCCTTTTCTTCTGCTTTTTTGTGTGAACCTGCTACTCTGGAATCCTAAGCTGCTCTTAGATGCTCTGTCTCAGTTGTTGCTCTGTGCTATCATATTCTTTATTTGTATCTGAGTCATATTCACAGTGTTGGGCATTTCAGGTCCAGATGCTACAAATCCAGACCAAGATTTTGTTTCTACTTACCAGTTGAGCATAAAGAGTCACAGTCATAGAGTTCTCAACTGGTTGGTTGAAACAAAATCTTGGCATGGATTTGTAGCTTCTGGACCAGAAATGTCCAACACTGTATATTCGGTGTGCCCTGCAATGAACTGACGTCTTGTTCAGGATGTTTACTGTCTTACACCAAGCGTTTCTTAGGATAGGCTGATGGCCTATTGTCCAGCCTGTTCTGGATACTCAGCTGGGCAAGTTGAATGGATTTAAGACGTGAGAGGAACAAGATCTGTGGAAAGTGTTCCTCACCTTTCCATTGCAGTCGGGTCAGTGTGAAAAGCAAACCCAAGTGGCTGAATTGAATTCTCACTCTACTGTGAAAAAGTTGTATACTGGGAGTGGAGGAGAAGTGAGGATGGGCAGTGTTAGAACGGCAGGGGAGGATTTGCTGATGTTTGTCAGGGATAACCTATGCATTAATCTGCCCCTCTGGAGAGGGGTAAGCACATTAGAAATTATGATTTGGAATAGTATTCAATGGATTTGCAAATTGTCCATTCCTAGATGTATTTAATGTTATTTGGGAGTGCATGGTCCAATCCCACGTGGTGGCAGGACTCATGCTAAATTTTGTGTGGAACCGTAGTGTGTTCCTGTCTCCACCTTCAGTCTATCTGAGGTTAGCAAGCAGTTTCAGACATTGTTAGGCTGATGGCCAAGTACTGCATTACCCCTACGGTGGAGGGGTTTTCTGTTCCTGCTGAATTGTAACGTTGTTCATCCTGAGCTGAAGGAGTCCACCATTCAACTGAATGAAGATAAGAGCCCATAGTTCCTTCTGGATACTGGCACTGCCTGGTGAATCTGCATCTCATTATGATCAGAGACCTCGTGTGTGTGTGTGTTTGATTAGAGTCAGAATACTGGCACAAGGGTTGCCAGCGGGGGTCCGTGCAGGCCTGCCTCAGTGGTGAACCTCCACTCTCATGTGCAGGATTTGTGAGCTTGCTGCAGGGTGTTACAAAACAGGGGGCAGTGAGCTGGGTTGCCATATTTTGGCTGAGGATTATGGAAATCTCCATCAGCAGGTCACATTATTCATGCGTAGCTGGTGGATTATGGGAATTTTCACCTCTAAAATCTGGCAGCCATCTCTCTGACATATAAGCTAAAGTAGGTTTCAAAATCACCCAAGAGGCTGCGTCTGCTCATCTGTTTATTTTACGCATAAAATTTGTTTTTGTTGCAAACTGCATAATGCCCTTCATTCTCTTAACTTTCTTAGTAATAAAATTCCAATCTTTATTTCTTAGACTTGTGATCGCTTGTGCTGTCAGAGTCCTGCCGTGGCCAAAACAGCCTGAGAGAAGTATCTCTATGAAAACCAGCCAGATTTGGCAGTGAAGCAATGATATGTTTCACAGCAAGAGCAGGCAGCATCATAACAGCCTTGCATGCTGCTCAATATAACTATTCGCAACAGAATTCCTTCAATGCTATTGTCCTGAATCAAAAAACTGTACGCAATAGTGGGGAAGGGGCCTTGTACACCAGCAATTCATCTACAGTGTCAGTGAACAAAAGTTAAATACTGTCAATAGACTATTGACATGGGATTAAGATTTATCCCAAAATGACACCACTCCTGTAATTGGACACTTTTCTACCACTTCCACACATGCCCAATGAGCAATAGGCATTTCTACCGTGTGACCAATGAGCAGAAGGATTTTTGCCCCGAAAAGCAGGCAAGGATGGGAGGCAGGGAGGTCCATAAGCGGAGGTGGGACTTTGGAGCCAGTGTCCACACATGGGTCTATACATGTGGCATCCAGATGTGGGTAGGAAGTGAGGCATCATCGCCCCTGGTGCTGAAATAATGACATAATAAGTTGTTTCAAACATCAAAGAGGTGAGAGAGAAAGTATATAGAGGCCAAGAGCTTAAGGTGGATTTGGGGGGGGACCCCATAATCCTGTCTGGCATCGTTTGTGACACGTTTATTGTACATCCACATCTCCTACAGCCTCATTATCACACACTCAGAATGCACACACACCTCTGTCACACAGAATAGTCACACACTCCACAATAACCCTTGTATTACACATTGATATCCACACGTAGGTGCAGGGATGCACGCCTACAGAGGTCAAAGGGCAAATGGGTGAGGAAATTGAGGCTTGTAATGCAGGTTTATTCACTCAGTGGAGTGGAAATTATGTGGCCTGGAGACCAAAGAGTTATTATATGGATATTAAGACAGGGCTGGGCCTGCGTGGAGAATGCTGACACACAGTCACGCAAAAGAATACATGCGCCCAACGACATACACAGGCATGAGCATGCATGCATGCAGGCATGCACATTCTTCTGGACAGCCATGCGCTGGAGCTGTGTGGATGGCTGCCTCTAGCTGGGATATCTGATAGCGGCTCGTCACCTCACTCACGCTAGGCATGCAGACACACTGGGTCAAATGACCCCAGTCCCAGGAATCAATGCATGCTGAGGTGCTGCTGTCTCCTTTACTCAGATAAGCTTATAAAGTCCTTGAGCCTATCCAGTTCTGTGCTACCATCCGTAAACTGCATTTCAGCATTACAATTCACCGAATTGCGGAATGTCAACATGCTGGCTTATTTTCCTTTTCTATAAACATTTAAAGTAAAAACTGGTGAGAGAACTATGCCAAATATGAGAACAAAAACTGGAATATTATTTGAAATGTGAGCACATTGGTATTTAATAAATGGTTCATTCATCAATCGTCCATGCCAGTTGTGGAGAGCCTGTAGTATGTTCTACATCAGTTCACCTCTTTGGACTGCAAGAGAAAATCCATGCAAACACAAGGAGAATATGAGGCATGAGGCATGATGTGAACCACAGACCCTGGAGATGTGAGACAACACTTTTACTCACTCCAGCTCATTCATAGATAGATAGATAGATAGATAGATAGATAGATAGATAGATAGATAGATAGATAGATAGATAGATAAAATGTAACCAACTTACTCATGAATCCTTATTTAAGTATTTATCTATCCATTTACAAGGTGAAGCAAGAGCTTTCTAACATTAACTTCCATCCATCCATCCATCCATCCAACCATCCATCAATTTTCTGTTAAAGTACTCTTACACCTGGCAAGCATTAAATGTCAGTCTGCATGAAATGATTCATTACTGTAGCACTGACTAATCTTATGGCATAATCCAAAAAGAAAAGGAAAAACAAGAAAATATTTATACAAGAAAATGCATAAATCCCAGTGAGATTTAGAGGTATTAATGGCTAAATTAATGCAGCTTTACTAACTTATACTCTGGTCTTTCTTCAAGCAAAATGCCCAGGATTCTTTAATTGACAGGTTGCATAACTAGCTATAAATTTTGGCTGCAAGTTGAAAATTCAAAACAATTTCCACTTCAGCCTGATGAACAAATGCCCCAATGGACAAATGAATGAAGTCTTGTCCCAGGTGGAGAGTGATAGCTGAACGGATAATGGTTCATTAGTGTTCCATGTGTAATTTGCAAGAATGGAAAAATAACATTTTTCAGGCCTTGTTAGGAAG